CCGGCCTCCGACGGTAGAGTGAATCACTAATTAAAACCACCCCTCGGCATGCCGGCCGCCGGTCTTCGGATTACTATTATTTTGCTCTTTGAGGAGCTTCAGTTGGTGTGGGCGGTGCGTCTGGAATGGTTTCCTTCCCCGTTAGGCCTCGAACCCCGCCTGGGAAGAGCGCCCAGGACGTGGCAGGAGTGGCCTTCCATCTGGGCAATGGGATGGTAGTGGTCTCCACCCCACGCGATGATCTGGAGCGTTTTGGCTCAGTGCATGGCGGGAAGAGAGTGTCATCGCTTTTACCAAATGACAATGACAGCATGGGCTCCGTTAGGGCTCGGACCAGAGGCTGCTAGGTGGCGCCTGGCCTAGCTCTGGTCTGACCTGTTCCTCTCCTTAGCCATTTGGGAATGGGGAGGGCCAGAGGTAAGAGTTGTGGGGTTTGAGAAATCAAAGACATGGCTTCAAGACCACCATGCTCCCACCCCCCACCCCCAGCCAGGTATGAGAAAGCACAAATAACCAGCCAGAACCAGAAAAAGCCAGTCGGTCCCCCAGAATCTGGGTCTGCGCCCAGCCCCCACCACACCTGCCCAGCACGCACACCCTGCAGTGCACAAGCTGGAAGTGGGTGGGCAGCACCCCTGCAGAGAAGGGGGCAGAGGGTAGGGCGCCACCACATAGCCACTGCCAGGAATGGAGGCCGCTTGGACACCAGGCAGCAAGCAGCCTGGGGGAGGATGGAGGGGGGAGGGGGGAGGTACACAGCAGCAGCCTCGCAGGCTCAGAGCCCCCAACACGGGGGCCACCCCCTGCCCCGCCCCCACCCTAATTTGTAACGAGCAGCTCTCTTGCCCGGTCCAAGGTAATAAAATCTTCCTGAAATGCTAGACCCGTGAGGCCCAGCACTGGCAAGGCGGCTCTGGGCTGCTGCACGGTGCTGTAGACCCCTGGCGATTGTTAAAATGACTGTCGCGGCCACAGTCCTTGGCCTGGTGTCCCTGCTGTCTGGGGAACAGGGAGCCATGTAGGTGGGTGCCCCAGAGCCCCTCGAAGGTTCTGCCACTGCTAAGCAACCAGAGCACACACCCACCAGGAGACTGCACCTCAAAACCACAGCCACAGGTACCTGTGCCCGTGGGCTGTGGGTGCAGGGGATCACAGGAAGCCACTACGGGGGCTCTCTCTCACAGGCACTCACACTCACACTCAGACATGCAGGGCCTGTTTTCCATCGAGGGTTGAATGGGGCCCTGGACACTCCCGTTCCCCAGAGCTGCCAGAAGGGGACCCCCACGTCCCTTGGGAAGGTCGGGCCGCCACTCACCTTCCCCACGAGCTTGCCTTTGCGGTTCATGCACAGGTAGAACTCCGTCTCCTTGCCCTTGATCCGGACTTGGCTTCCGAAGGTGTCTGTCTCCACTAGGAGCTGGGCTTCGAAAGGCAGAAAGAGGACAAGGCAGGTCTTTTACCACGGGCAGCGGCTTGGTCTAGAGGCTCAGTAACACAGTCCCAGACCCTTCCCCGTCCCACAGCCCAGGCAGGCACGGTGGAGGCTCCCCAGACCCCCTGGGGAGATGGAAGGCACCATCACGTCCTCCTCGCTGCCCTCCGCCCCAGCCTCTCTGCTCCGGTTGGGGCCTCGTGGCTCCAGCTGGAAACGGCGCTGCCCCTTGTGGCTAAACACCGTGTGCCCTTCTCCGCTCACCAGCCACCTCCTCCAGCCCTCAGCCCCGTTCACTACAGCAGGCCAAATAGCCCGGCAAGTCACCCTGGAGTTCCACAGTCTCTGGGCTGAGGGACAGACACTTGACACAGATGCACACATATGCCCCACCCTGCCTCTGGCGATGTCAGCAATTTTCTCCAAGGTCAGCAGCCGCTTCCACCGGGGTAGACGGCTGGCTGGAACTCCGAGAGTGCCCCTGACTCCAGTGCCCTGCCCACTTGAAGAGGGGAAAGCCGGGGGCGGCGGTACAAGCCCCTCTGGACCGCCACTGCCCTCACCCGAGGCCACCAAAGCTGAAGGGTGACTAACTCCCAGAAGCCTAGAAGCCCCCATGGGAACCCAGTTTCTGCTGGAATATCCACGCCTCCCTCAGGATGTGGATGCTCAGACTGGATCCCCCAAAGGCCTGGCTGAGCCAGGACAGCAAGTAGCCAAGCAGATTAGGCACGTGGCGTCCAATCCACCCTTTTCCCCACCAGTGTCCCATTTTCTTCCCCGTAGGGCGCACTGTGATCCTGGGCAGGCCACACGCCCTCTCTGGGCTATTTCTACCGTTGGCCTTTAACCCCTGCACCTGGACCCCAAACCCCATAGCTGCTTTCTTTGCCTGTGTGCCCGTCCCCCCTAGAGCTCAGTCTCCTCCCTAACCCTTTACTTCCAGCACCTGCCCCTCCTCACCCACAAAAGTTTAATTTCAGTGACAAGGGACTTAACTTCTCCATAACAAAAATCATAGCCCCAAATTCCTGAGTATAGAATCCTTGGGGCCGCAAAGAGTGTACCTCAGTGCCCCTAAAATACACTCGGTATGATTTTAATAAAAAAATTTACAAATATAGACCCTGGTGCCCTGCTGTGAAAATTAAAGCCATCTGGAACTCGAGATTTTCAATAATTGATCTAGCCCTCCTTTGACACCACTACTAATTAAAATATGATACCCACCTTTCCAAGAGGGGGAAGAAAGTATTTACATAAAATTTAAAGATCTATCAAGAATTCAGTAACTCTAGAAACAAGAGGGGCACATTCCTCTCTGCCTCCCCCCACCCCAGGAAGCACCAAGCCTGGACTGTGAGCCAGTACTGCCGGGCGGGAGTTCCGAGCCCTGGTCTTTCCCGCTCCCCTTCCGTTCAAACCCCTTCGTTTTCCTCTGTTGCTTCCAGCCCGGGGGCCAAGCGTCTCGGCAGTTCTGGGGCTTGCTTCCTCCAGCTCTTCGCTGAGGTCCACATAGGGTGGGGTGATGTGGTCAGGACAGCCCAGAGCTAGGATGTGGGCAGTGTGTAAGCGGACCAGAGAGAGAGCTGTGGGGCCGCACAGATCTGCGTGTGAACCCCTGGCCCGCCTGCCCTCTGGACGGCCTCGTGCCTCCGTTTCTTTACCCCTAAAATGGGGGAAATCATCCTTAACCGTCCACAGTTCCCGCGAACAGGGGGGGACTGGATGCTGTAAAATGCCTAGCGCCCTGTTCTCAGGGCCCGGGGGTGCGTGGTAACTGTGGATGCAAACCCAAACCTTCCCTGAGAGGAAGACAGAAACAGCAGGCACGAATCAGGCGTGAGCACAAGGCAGGGGTGGAGCCCACTCATCGCCGGGTCGTGCCCTCTGACCTGCACATCCTCACGCCCCCAGGTCACAAGTGCCCGTACCATGACAGCCTGGGCTGGACTGGCAGGTCTGACTCTGCTCTGGCATGGCCGTGTCAGGCTGTGTGACCTCAGACAAGCCACAGGGCCCTCTGATTCCTGCTTTCCCTGCCCGTGCGAGGTCAGGGGCTTAACCCTACTCCGGCTCTTCCTGGAACGAGGGAGCAAGATCTAGGGGACTAGGGGACGGGCAGAGACGTGAGACTGCGGGAAGCAGGTGAAGCCATTGGCCTGGGGCCCAGGAAACATCAAGTAGGTGGAGGGGTGATTTGGCACACACGCTGGGCCTCTGCCCTCGGGCCGGCTCCTGCAGTACCCTGGCTCTGGCTCCCGTGTGAGCCCGGACGCCGCCCGTCTTCCTCAGGTTGGCTGTCTTTGCACCAGCGTTACCATGAGGGACACGAGGCGCAGCAGAGTGGGAAACTTCATGGCATGGCCGTGTCAGGCTGTGTGACCTCAGACAAGCCACAGGGCCCTCTGATTCCTGCTTTCCCTGCCCGTGCGAGGTCAGGGGCTTAACCCTACTCCGGCTCTTCCTGGAACGAGGGAGCAAGATCTAGGGGACTAGGGGACGGGCAGAGACGTGAGACTGCGGGAAGCAGGTGAAGCCATTGGCCTGGGGCCCAGGAAACATCAAGTAGGTGGAGGGGTGATTTGGCACACACGCTGGGCCTCTGCCCTCGGGCCGGCTCCTGCAGTACCCTGGCTCTGGCTCCCGTGTGAGCCCGGACGCCGCCCGTCTTCCTCAGGTTGGCTGTCTTTGCACCAGCGTTACCATGAGGGACACGAGGCGCAGCAGAGTGGGAAACTTCATGCTGGAATGGCCATGCCTCCCTCAGGATGCCTGCCTCTTTCTGCTCGGGTCTGGGCTCCATGGGGGGAGGCCCCCCAATCCTGGAAAGGCGTGCCTCCAAGCACAGTCCCTTCCCCCACTCGTCAGCCTGAGCCAGCACAGGAAGCCCTGGCCTTGACCGAGCTGTCCAGGGCACCTCCATCCACGGCCAGCCCAGCTTCCCCACCCCCACGGGGAGGGTCTGCACGGCCTCTGCACTGGGGGAGCCAGAAGCCTTTCTCCCTGAGACCCGCAGCGTGCGAGGGAGTGACCTAGACTCCACTCAGCGCATGACATAATGCGGAGGGAGCCGGGCCAGAATTATGTAAAGTCTTTGGGGAGTAATTGCAGTAGCGGTTCTCAGAGAGAGCGAGAGAGGGGAGAGAGGAGAGACACCACCCAGGCTAGGTCTGCCCGGAGCCTGCCTGGTCCTCGGCATCCCAATTACTTCCATGACCCAAGCCCCTGAGAGGCAGCTCTCAGGAACCTCATCAGGCTCAGGCCCATCCGTGCGGCCTGGACCAGGCCAGGGCTGACACGCGCTTGCTCTGTTCACCAGAACCCGCCGCACCCTGGCAGGGCCTCCGGCCCCTCCAGCCTGTGCAATGCAACGGCCCCTCCCACCACTACCCTTGCCCCCCAGCCTCTCCTCCCCACGTTGGCCAGAGGAATCCTTTACAAACTTAATCCTGTCTCTTCCCTCCTAAAAACCTCCTAGGGATCCCAAGCCATTTAGAAGACAGTCCAAAAGAGCCGTAGGGGGTACGCGATCTGGCCCTGCTGGCCACCCCGTCCCCTCACTCACAGCCCCCAGCATCACACGCCTCCTCGCTGTTCCTCTCCCACACGCCAAGCACACGCCCACCTCAGGGCCTTTGCACGCGCTGACCTCTCTGCCCAGACTTCCCACAGCGGCTTCTCATCATCTAGGCTGCCTCCTCACAGAGGCCCTCCCGGAGCATGCTGATGTTGGCCCTGCCCCCGCCCCCAGCACAGCCTACCCGTTCCTTGACGCCATTTTCCTTTGATCTCTTCTCCAAGAGCTTCTTGTTACCCTTGACCGGCTGTGTCCACCCACCAGAAGGCGAGCTCTGGGAGGACAAGGCTCTGTGTCTTCCTCTGCCCATGACTCCTAGTCCCTAGCCCATCCCTGCCCCATAGCAAGTGACCAACATATAAGCGTTAATAAACACTCAGCCAGCCTTGCGAGGTGGGTGTGACTGACACTATTGAAGAGTTAAAGACGATGGGACCAGCAGATGGCGTAATGGTTACATCCCTGGACTCCCACGCAGTCAGCCAGGCTTTGAGCCCCAGACCCGGTGACTTAAAACGCATGCCGGGCACGTGTACGTGTGTCCAAGATTCTGAGCCGAGAATGGAGGAGAAGGGATTGTGGTGTGGCCATCCCCTCTGGGGAGTGATTTCTTTTTCTGTCTGTCTCTCTGTCTCTCTGGCAAATGCACACGTCCTATAGCAAAAATCTCAAATAAATAAATAAATAAATAAATAAATAAATAAAGTTAAAGGAAACGAGATTCATGGAGGTGAAAGACTTTGCCCAAGGACGCACTGCTAGCAAAGGCAGGGTAAGGTTCGGACCCAGTCTCCACAGCCAAGGAACGCCCTTAACCCCTGCGTCCTTTGGTTGACACCACTCTCCTGGACCCCGGGCTCCCACCTACCCATCCCGATGTGGTGGCACCATCATACCTCCTGCGGTACACGTAACCAAGCCAAAAGGCTTCCTGTGTTTCCAGGCCAGAACAGGTACCCGCTAAGGCTTCTCCCAGTGCCAGGTCTGCCTTTCTAGGGGGCATTGGTAACTCACACTTACCAAGAGTTAAGAGACGCCGAGCACTGCTCTAACTATCATACATGCATTATCTCATGTAATCCTGCAACAGTCCTAGAAGGTTGCAAGTGTTGTTATTTTCCCCATCTCACAGGTGAGAAAACTGAGTCCCAAGGTCACGCATGGGCTGACCCGGAAGTCTCCCCTGCCTACCCCACCCCTCACCTTCCACATCTCCCCCGCCCCAGTCCCTTTCCCAGGGGAGTAAGTACGGAAGGAATGCTGGGTGGTGGGGGGTCTTCTCTTTGGCTTCCAGTGGATGGGGCTGCCCAGAGAGCACAAGGTTGGGGCCCATCCCTCCCCCAAATGACCTTGAGGGCAGAGGAGGTCCCTAGAGTCAGCCTGAGAAGATGCCTTTGAGCCACAACACCC